ACCTCTGAGCCATCTCTCCAGCCTTTCAGGTGAATTCTTAAAGGTAAGTATCATTGCCTTTATTTGGCTAGTGTGGAGCCAGAAAGTAAAGTGACTTTGGCTATGGTCACATGGCTAGTTGGGGATGGAACCAACTCAATCATCCACAGCTGATGTCACACCACATCCCATGGCCTTTCTGCTCTGCTGTTCTGCTTAGTGTTTGAAGCAAACTATTACACATTCCATCAATCAACAGTACCTAAAACCTCTGTCTTTATAGCTGCCAATATGCATATTGCACATATGGGAAAATGAACACTGCCCACCTTTCCATGCTTAACATGAAGTCTTTAAGTCTGTTACTTCTTCATCTATTAAAAGAATTCTCTCTAATGAAGGAAAGGGGCTCAGATTTCATGTGGATATAGCATCCCTCCCAAGCTTGGTTTTGACAATTGAATATTTCCATCTAAATGTTCCATCAATTCAATCAAAATGTTAATATTCTGATTACAAAGTACTTCTCTATGCGTTAATTTCCTTCTCACAGATTTTCCCTGAAGCAAAGCACTGAGCTGGTATTCACAAGTGGGCAGGTCATTTTGATTTAAAGAGGACATTTGTGTACCATGATGCTACAGTAATTGATCATAGCAATATTTCAGGAGATTAATCTACAATCTAAATGTACCCACTCATATTTGTCTTATTAGATTGTGCACAGAGCCCTTACACAGCTGCTAAAACCCTATGTGTTTACAATAAGCAGGGGAGCCAATAAACGAGCAGCTGTCTGTTTAAATCTGTATTAAATGTGGTTTTAGTGGTTTTGTTGAGGAGTGTCATTCTCTTTTCATCCTTTGCTGCTTAAATGATGCTGAAGTTGTGGCAAATAAATAATCATAGTTTCAACTTCAAGGTATTATCTCTCAGGCTTCAGAGATTATGTATTTTAACAAGGCAGATACACAGAGCCACCTCAGAAATTTTGAAATATTAATCTCTGTCTCCCCTGGATATGGAGTGACAAACAAGTGGTTTTGAAATCCAATTGTGACTCACATCATAACATTCCCACAGCAAATGGATAGCTTGTGAAGCAGGATCAGCTCAGTAATGACCCCATCAGCATGCTCTACCTCTATGCTTATCTGCATTCTAATATTACAGAGCAAAGTAGGCCAGACTGGAAGAAGCAGGTTTCTAATATGAGGCTGGAGAATGTGCTTGGAATGCTCTGATGATGCCTTTTCACTATGAGGAAGGGTACCAGAAGCACTACTGTAGTAGGCGGTGACTATGGAATAGGATGCCAGAGGTACCTGGGAAACCTCTGATGCAAAGATGCTTCTCACATCTCCTCTGACAACTGTTTTAAACTAAAGCAAAGACCTCCAATGCAATAATTAGAAATTAAAGGCATAGCACAGTGATAAGATAAACTCAATCACACACAACTGTCAATTCCAGACAGATTGATTGACAGAGTGACTGACTGTCTTACTGATTTTGCATGCTTGAAACAGAACCCAGTAAGTTCTCTACCACTGAACTTCAGTCCCAGCCCATGGATAGAAGAGTTTAATAAAGGAAAGGTTGTACAGGGCAACCACATGGAAAGGAGAGAGTTCCGTGTGCTCAAGAACAGAGAAATAAGAAGAAAGGTAAATTTTGCTGTCTCATACTGTTTCTGTGTTGCTGTACAAAAATACAATGAAGCATAGTTAAATCTTAAAGGTCTTTTATAAATCCCATCACATGTTCTTTTAGTCACTGGTTCATTTATACTTCACATATCATTCAGAATCAAAACTTAGGTTCACCTAGAGGTGGAAAATAAATCTCTATTGCTGAAGAGACCATGAACTTCAGACATAGGGCCCAGAGGCCCCTGAGCTGAAATTGACCCTGAAGACTAGCTTTCTTAGTACCAGAAGATACCCACCACATAAGCTTCCAAAATAGGAAAGCAACCAATAGTCCTATCCAAATATGACACCTGCCTTAAGGGTTCTGTTGCTATAAGGAGACATCATGACTACAGCAAATCTTATAAAGAAAACATTTAATTGTGGTGGCTCGCTTACAGTTTCAGAGATTCAGCTCATTATCATCATGACAGGAATCATGGCAGCATGCAGGCATACGTGGTACTGGAGTAGTAGCTGAGAGCCCTAAATTTTGCAGGCAAAAGGAAAGAGACTGTGACACTGAGCAAAGCTTAACCAAAAGACCTCAAAGACTGCCTCCACAGTGACACATATCCTCCAACAAGGCCATACCTTCCCCAACAAAGCCACACCTCCCAATATAGCCACACTCTTTTGTGGGATGACTCACCCCTAACAGGCTTGAGGGTCAGCCAGCCCAAACAAGTAAAAAAAGATACTTTCTGAGAGCCAACCTGGGTCTGCCTAAGGGCCTTAGCAACAGCAGCTGAAACATGAGCTGGAGATGACCTGGACCAATGAGAGGCAGCCATGTCACACCAGCAGATGCATATTCATTAGATCTTCCCCCAGGGTGGGGTGGATGGTAATATAAGGCTTGCCTCTTCCTGAGTAAACTAAGCTTGTTTTGACATTCTCCCAGAGTCTTTGTTGTTCATTCTATGCCTACTTGGCCCCCTCCCCCAAAGGGAACAATAGCACAGGACCCTGACACATCTGGTGCCGAAACCCAAGACATTTGGTACTTGAACAGGGTCTGTTCGTCTCCCTTTACTCATGCAAAGCACTGGTGGAGCATCCCCTTGAGCGGTATATTTCGTTGAGTAGGCCCCTCTACATTGTGTAAATTCGGTCCCTTCAGCAGGTAAATGCTGAGACCCCCACTTTCTTCTTTTTGTATGTCTTGTTTGTGAGTCTGTCTGTACGGTAGGGTGGCATATACTTTTGTTCAGGCTCCCCTAGCATTCCATATAAGGGATGGATCCTCAGGAAACAACAGCCATGGTCTGACTATTTTTAGTTGGGTATGTATATATGTGTATGTGTGTGTGTATGTATGTACGTATCTATGTATGTGTATGTTTGTGAATGCATGCATGTGCTTGTGGGTTGTGATGCCTGGAGAGATGGCTCAGCAGTTAAGAGTGCTTGCTCCATAGATCTTTTCAGAGAACATGTGGGAACCTGATATTTGGATGAGAGTTCTGTTCCTGGCCAGAAAAAGGTAAGTGCCCTCAGGAGTAACCCTCCAATTGTTTTTCATGCCCATTTTGTTGGCTATAATTGCTGGCCCAAAGTCCTCATCTACTGAGGAAGTCTTTAAGGTCCACAATAAGCACTGCCAGGAACAATGTAATATCAACTTATCTATCACCTTCATTCCATCCATGACTGGTATTTCCTCCGCCTCTGCTGACAAGGAGACAGATGAGAATAGGCGTAAAGTGAAGGGAAGGGATGGAAAGAGAGAAGAATGCTTGCGGCAGCACCCAGGCCTACACCAGCAGTCCCTTTCTCTGTTTCCCCCATACCTCGAGCGGCTACCCCACACTTCAGTATCCACAGAGTGATTTGACTGGATGTCTGCCTGCAGAGCCAGTTGCTCCGCATACCTCCCAGCCTATTCCACCTATGGTGCTGCACATGCCCACCATGGCATTTCCAGTTAATGTGGGCCCCAATGCAGCCAACCAGCTATGGATACCTACCTCTCTTGCAGACCTGTCTATGGTCCGTGAAGCTCCTAATGAATCAGGTCCTGTATTTTGAGCAAGTCCTACGGCAATGGGCAATGCATTTAAAGACTTATGACTGGCACCATTTGATGAAGGCTGTGTAGGAGCCTATGGTCTTCCTTAATTGGCGAGCTGCCTATGACGACTAGGCCAAGGCTCAGGCTTGTTTTAATATACAGTACAACATCACTGTTACTCTTGAGGTGCTCATGGGCCAAGAACCATACGTTAACCCTGTCACATAAGCCCAAGGTGGACAACTTGCTTATTTACTTGCCTTGGGAGACAACATTGCCCTTGGTGCATTGGAGGGATCATATCACCATTCAATGGCAACCTCCTGCTCCCCTATTAACCCAGGGACAAAGGTATGCTTGCAGTTTTCCCCAGAATACCACTGATATGGATATGGATATCCAATATGGATACCCTCCAGAGATATGTGTCCAGCAACAGACCAAGAAACTGGCCAAAGAAAAAGCTTCGGGGAGGTAATGTATGATTTGTTCCACCACTACAGGATTAGTAAAGGTCATATCATTACTGACATTTGACCCTAGATATGAAACAACTGCCTCACCCCCTACAAGGTCACTAATGCATCACCAGAAAGACTTCAATTGGCACAATAAATATAACTAGGGTCCCATCCATGTCCTTGAAATTAAATTTTTGACTAATCCTTCTCTTGTTCAAATATCTTCTGCAATAGGTTCACCAACAGAAGGCGGCCACAAAGGTGGCCCTACAGGTTTTATTGGCTCTCAGACACCTAGATCAAAGTCCTCCTAGAGAGAGAATACACACATGGCTCACTGAGATACAGAAGGCTACTGCCTAAAGCCCATCACCCAGACAGCTCTCCAGGATTGATGCTCTTCGAGGGCTGGTAGTCAATGACAGATACAAACTTGTTTGGCAAGCCAATCTAAGACAGGCACAGTCCATTATGCTGAGCTCTCCTGAGGTGGGGTCAACAGGGTTAGGGCGATGCACTCTAGCTCCCACTGAGCATGTCCTATGAAATAATAAAAAGGGGTGAATATGTGGGATGACTCATCCCTAATAGGCTTGACAGTCAGCCAGCCCAAACAAGTAAAAAAGATACTTTCTGAGAGCCAACCTGGGTCTGTCTAAGGGCCTTAGCAACAGCAGCTGAAACATGATCTAGAGATGACCTGGACCAATGAGAGGCAGCCATGTCATACCAGCAGATGCAAATTCATCAGACCTTCCCCCAGGGTGTGGAAGGTATATAAGGCTTGCCTCTTCCCAGGTAAACTGAGCTTGTTGTTTTGATGTTCTCCCAGAGTCTGTGTCATTGACTCTGTACCTACTTGGCCCCCTCCCCCAAAGGGAACAACAATACAGGACCCTGCTACACTCTTTGGGGGCCATTTTCTTTCAGACTACCACAGCACTTATGAATCACAACTACCAACATGGCATGATAACCCTAAGGGTGTAGTCGTGGCACACATACCTTGGCAGTAACCAATAGTTTACTAATCGGACAAAGATCTACTCAACAAGAGAGAAATCATGCTGATACTTGAAACCTAACCCAGGACTAGTTAAGTAATGGATCTTGAAGGAGAGCCTATAATCATCACTGTCTTAGGAATTCTATTGCTATGAAGAGACACCATGTCCACAGTAACTCTTAAAAAGGAAAAACCTTTAACTGGGATGGCTTATATTTTCAGACTTTTAGTCCATTATCATCATGGTGCAACATGCTGGCATGCAGGCAGACATGGTGCTGGAGTGTAGCCTAGTGTCTTGCATCTTGAATTGCAGGCAACAGGAAGTGGTTTGAGACACTGGGCAGTATCTTGAACATACATGAGAACTCAAAGCCTGCCTCCACAGTGGCATATTTCCTCCAACACCACCACATCTACTCCTACAAGGCCACACCTTTAAATGGTGCCACTTCCTTTGGGGGCCATATTATTTCAAACCACCACATTCCATTCCCTTAACTGTAATCTCTTAACTGTAATCACTTGTAAAATCAAAAATCAGAAAGCAGATCACATACTTGCAACATATAATGGCACAGGTTATACATTACCATTCAAAAACATAGGGAGGGGGCATAGTGAGGAAATACTGGACCAAAGCAAGATTAAAAACCAGCTGGGGCAAACTCCAAACTCTGCATCTCCATGTCTGATGTCAAAATGTTCTTCAGATCTCCAACTCCTTTCAGCTTTGTTGACTGCAACACACTTCTTTCTCTGGGGCTTGTTCCACTCCCTGTTAGCAGCTCTCCTTAGCAGTTATCCCTCAGCTCTGTCATCTCCAACATCTTGGAGTCTCCAAGGCAATCCAGGCTACTCCTTTGCAGCTTCACACAATGGCCTCTCTGGGCCTCCATTTAGGGACACCCTTGACACATGCCTGGCCTCATCAGCTTTCCTTAGTTTTGGAGGAATATTCCACAGCCCCTTTTTTCTGTCCTTGACACTAAAGCCAGAACCACATGGCCAAAACTGCCAAGTTCTGCTGCTTGCTGGGGCTGGACCATTCAGTTACATCTTTACCAACTTTCTGGGTTTTTTTTTTATTATTTCCTTCACTGCCTTAGCTTGGCTGTCCTAAAACTGGATCTGTAAATCAAGTTGGCCTTGAATTCAGAGATCTTTCGATTACATCTTCACCAACTTTCTCTTTTCAATTTTTATCTTCACTGCCTAAGCTTGGCCATTCTGGAACTTGCTCTGTAGACCAAGATGGCCTCAAACTCAGAGATCCACCAGCCTGTCTTCCAAGTGCTAGGATTAAAGGTATGCACCACCACACCTGACTCGAAGCTATTCGCAAGTTGGAAACTTAGCTGGGTGAAATCTTGCCCTGAGGTCACTGCTCACTTTATTCCATTTCTTAATCTATTTATCTCCTTGAATATAGGACTTGGCTCCTTTCTACTTCCTGGTGCTCCTTTTCTCCTCAAAATATACATTTTCTTGTTCCTTTTCATCATAAATCTGTGTAAGAGTGGCCAGTAATACTCATACAACAGAGCCAATACTAGGCTGTTTTGAGATTTTATCTGCCAACAGAATTAATCTAAATCTCTTCACTTAGCCGTAGGCAGATTCTTCAGACAAGGGCAAAAAGTAGCCAAAGTCTTCATCAAAATATCAGAAGAGCAGTCCTCTAGGCAACATATTAAAACTCTTCTCCTCTGAAACCTCTTGAGCGAGCCCCCCACAGTTCAAATCACTCTTAGCACCATCTCCCATTCTCCTACTGATAGGCCCCACTAAGCAGTCAGTGCTTAAAGCATCCTACTGCTTTCCTCACTGAAACTCCCAAAGTCCAAATTCCTCCAAACAAAAGCATGGTCAGGCCTATGACAGCAATACCCTAGTCCCTGGTACCAATTTCTATCTTAGTTAGGGTTTCTATTGCTGTGAAGAAACACCATTACCATGGCAAGTATTATAAAGAAAAAAACTATTCTTCCATTATCATTATGGTGAGACATGGGGGCATACTGTCAGACATCCATGGTGTTGGAGAAATAGCCAAGTGTCCTACATCTTGGATGGCAGGCAACAGGAAGTGGTCTGAGACACTGGGTGGTATCTTGAGCATATATGAGACCTCAAAGCCTGCCTCCACAGTGACACATTTCCTCCAACAATACCAAACCCACTCCAACAAGGCCACATCTTCAAATAGTGCTGCTCCCTTTGGAGGCCACAATCACTTTACTAAACCAGCATAATCCCTAACTATACTCTAAATATCTGCTATTTTGCCCATAGAGAAGTGTAATTCTCACCCTTCACCAACAAAACTGATCTTGCAACAGAGAGACACCATTAGAGAAAAACCACAAGTAATCAAAATACAGAGCTGTGGAGCCCAATTCCAGTAGATACATGTATAAAACAACTCCTCGCCTAAAGCTTGGGGACCATTGAGGAAGAGGGGGCAGAAGGACTGCTAAGAGTCAGAGGATCAGGGAGTTTACTGTGACAGTGTGTCTCCTAGTAAATTCAGAAGTTACACCCATAAAATCTCACCAACATGACTGCCTAAACATCAGCTGAGCAAGGACAACAACAGTAGACATGCCAAAGTGGATGAGAGAAAGACCATGAGGTCTTAACCCTTTATAAAGAACTACAGGTTACTAAGGAAGGGTGAGAGTGGGAGAAATAGTTTTTTTTTTTGTTTTTAGGGAAGAGCACACCAATTGGTTATTCAATACAGAATTGTCAGTCCTGAAAACATATGCATACAAGTAACATTATACAGATTGGGCAGGTTATATTTAGGAGGGAATATATATATGTTTTCATGTGACAATTAATTTAAAAAGAGGCCATGAGAGCAAGAAGGGGTATATGGGAAAGGGCAGCTAACAGAAGCTATTGTGCTCCAGGAGCTTACACCATAGCCAGTATGCATAATTGTACCAGGCTTTTTCTTTCAGGCCACCACCCAGCTGCCAAATACAACACAGAGATTTCTTATTAGTTATAAATGCTTGGCCTAGCTTAGGCTTGTTTCTGGTTAGCTCTTTTAACTTAAATTAACCTGTTTCTCTTTATCTACCTTTTGCCTCAGGGCTTTTCACTTTTCTTTCCTTGTGTATATCTTACTTTCATTGCTTCTGGTATCTGGCTGGCCGGTGGCCACTTGGCCTCTTGCCTCGGGAGTGTGCCTCTCTTTTGCCCTCATTCTTAATTCTTCTCTCCTTGTTCTTCTAGAGCCTAGATTTCTCCTATTTATTCTTTCTGCCTGCCAGCCCTGCCTATCCTTTCTCCTGCCTATCTATTGACCATTTAGCTTTTTATTAGACCAATCAGGTGCTTTATGTAGGAAAGGTGCAACAAATGCAACCCATCTTTACATAATTAAACAAATGCAACAAAAACAAAAGTAACACACCTTTGTACAGTTAAAGTAATATTCCACAGCATAAACAAATGTAACGTATCTTTACACAGAGTAATTTCCACAACACATAATTATCCAGAAGTACAGAGAAAGGTATGGTGAAGGGAATTCAGGCAGCTTCATCCTGAGAAGAGGGAATTGAATCACCATCTAGTCCAAGACATCACTCAGATTTATCACCATCCTACAGAGGGGTAAAACTTACTAGACTGCAATACCTCTCTTCCAGATATTTCCTCCCCTTGAGCCTGCTCAGGGCCAGGCAGTCTGGTACAGGTTAACATATAACACCAATATAGATGGGGGTCTGAAACCCAGCATGGTTTCCCTCGGGCAACCTGGCCTAGTACTGTTTCTCTACAGAGGAAGGGATGGCTTTTCAGAATGTAACACAGGCTCCATGAGCTCTCTAAAAGGCTGTGTCCAGCCACACAGTAGGTGACTGTACTGATACAAATGGTACTGGGCCAATGATGCCCAAGCCTTCCGATTTCAGTTGACTTCTGGTACTCAGAGTTATAATCACCAATCTCTGGGACCTGTGAATAAGTTACCTGCAAAAGAATATTAGATGATATGGTTCAGGGTATGGATTGGGACATGTCCTAGGTCATCTATATTGGTCCAGTCTCTCATCTAATTATATTTAATCTATCTAATCCTGAAATTCTTGAAAACAGAATCCTTAACTCTGATGTGAGAAGTTATCTTGCATGAGAAGAATAAGATTTTCTACTCCTGCACTTGAAGTTGGAGGAAGGGTCCAAGAGATAGCAACAAGCCCAGAAGCTAGAAAAAAATTGTCTCCTAGAGCTTCATGATTTTATCCCAGTTAAACCTGTGTCAGACTTTAAACCTACAGTACTGAACTGTAATAAACCTGTAATATGTTAAGTCACTAAATTTGTGGTAATTTTTCAGGGCATTAATAGAAGACTGTAATATATATGATGTGCCGTAGCCTGTGTCTCCAAACGTGTTACAAAAATGCACCCTAACTTATAGGAAGGCTCAGAAAAGCCTAGAACTAACCCATGCTTTAAAAGCGCAAGCTTGGATGATACAGGTGGTTAGTAGTATGTGGAGTCTGCATCTCACACGGTTCCCAGACAGCCATCACAGCGCAAGGTAAGTTCTTCTGAGAAACGCACTATGATGCTGCCCATGGTGGGAACATGTGGGACCTCTGTTCCTCAGCACTTCCACAGCTTCACCAGTCCTCTGACTCACTTCAGTAAAACATTCCATATTTAGCAACACAGAGTACATTCCCCAGAGCCTACAACATTGACGGTAATGCTGTAAGCTTATGTATTAACATTCAACTACATAATTCTATTCATTGTTTTCATGCAAGTATCAGATTGTGTCCTGTTTGTTATATAAATTATTGCAAAGCCATGTAACTGGTCACATATCATTTCATTATACAAAATAAATTACTTAACCCTACTTGGAAATGTCCTCCTTACAAGCATCTTTTAATGAATAATACATATATCTTCTCACATGTGTGCTTGCACATGCAGTTAAAGGCAAGCAGAAAAGAGGTAAACACTCAAATTACTTGCAGTTTTAGGTAAATCTTGACCACTATTTATAACAAAACAAGTCCTTTCCCCAATGCAGAATTCCCCACACTCCTCTCCCTACCCAGCCCTTTTCTGCTTTCATCATAGCATTTATTGCAAGTCTAATTAGGCTGTTGATAAATTTAGGTGATTATTTGTTATTCACTTTGCCACTAGCATGCCAGCATGGGCAAGGAGAGGCCTGTGAGTACCTGGCTCACACTCATGATCCCAAGTATAAGCTCAGCAAATATTTGTAGCCTGAGTAAATTAACACAGTTCTCTGTGAAAACTTCCACGGCTATATCTTCATGCCTGAGATAATACTTAGTGCAAAGGAACTGTTAATGCTCTAACTCTGGACCCAGCATATGCAGGGAGGCAGTAAGTTAAAATGCTCAGAACAGCTTTCTCAAAATCTCTCTGGAAAATAGTAAGATGGTATAGATGCATAAATAAGTTCTTTTAAAATCTCAAAAATAAATGTTTCATGGTATTACTAAATTGAAATCACAATAAAACTAATTTTATAATGCAGATAATGGAGGGAAATATCTAAGCCACAATTTTCTATGATTTGAGAGTAGGAGTAATTGCAGATGATATCAGAGAAGGCATCCCTGTATGGAAGCTGACTCCTTCTCAGGGGGCCTTTCACTTTTTCCTGCGCAATCACTTCTCTTCTCCTCTCTGAGACTTTCTTTCATAGAGCATTCCCTCATGATCACGCATTAAAATGATTTGTGTACACCTTCCTTTATTTTGACTCTAGGCTTCTGGAGGATGTGGCCAGTGCTGAGATTCATGGGGCTTGAAGGAAGAGACAATGAACTACATTAACAGTGATGGGAAATTATATCCATTGAGTGGCTTTTGTGAGTTAAACACAGTTGCACTGATTTAAATCTTAGGTTCTCAAGTGATACTGTCTTTGGATTGGTAATATAGACAGAAAAAAACAATCTGGATTTAAGGGCCAAATAAGATTTCTCAAGATAACATGAATTAGAGTGAGTTGGAAGGAATAAGGACTGGATACTTAAAAAAAAAAATGTCTAGAAAGTCAAAGATCAGGAATGGATTAAAAACTGGGGTGTCTGAGAGAAAACTGTAAAATGGGTAACTACTGGGCATACTGGACAGTAGAGAGTGAACAAGCCGAAACAAGCCTTAGTAATAATGAGAAGTGCTGTGATAGGACAGTATCGAGCCACTGTGTGCAGCTGTGGAGATGTGCAAATAAGCATTCTAGTCAGCAGGGCAGAGACATGTGAAACCTTAGCCAAGATCCCTAGCTTCCAACCCAGACTCCTTCATTTATAATATACTGAGATACTAATGTATTCTAGAAGGGTCTCCGGCATTGTGTGGAACTAGATCCGTGCAACCCAGGTGTGCAATCTCTAAGGGTCTCATAATTAAATTAAACGTTGCGTAGATATTAAATGTTTTAGAAGCTGCCTTGTTTTGTTAGTAGTTAAAAGGCAGAAGAAACCAAAAGAGCAGGATGTTAACATTAAAATAAACAGCACTTTCCAACAGCTTGAAATATGAAGGCAAGTAATTAGCTTCTGATGACATGTTTATCCAACACAGACGCCTAGAACAATAAGATGTGATTATGATCCTTTGAATACAATCACTTTCAGGCACATTTATTGCCCAACTGTTGTGACAACAGTTAGAGCCTGGTCCCCATTTGTCAGCAGGCTTTTCTATTTTTCCTTAAAAAAAAAAAAAAAAAAAGGTCAGCTCTAACAAACATGCCAAGGTGAGAAATAGCATTTTCTATTCACTGGCATTTGACCTTAACCTATGGGGTAATAGTAACTAGAGAGAAAAGACGTGGTTCAGAAACTCCGGAGTAAACGTTAAGAGCCAGTGGGTTTGTGTTTGGCAGTGTTGTGTGAAAAACAGTTGTTTCCCACTTGTTTTGTAAGTCTATTTAATCACTCTAAGGATTCCCCTTTGGTGTTAGTGTCTAGAGATTCAAAAACACAAATGATTATATCCCCTGTAAGTCTCTGCATTGACCCATCAGCCTAGCACTTAATTACTCAGATAAGCATGCTAGTTTTTCAATATACACCATTGAGCCTGGGAGGCCATCTTTTTTTTTTTTTTTCCATAGACACGGGCAAGCAAATGGCAAAACCTAACTAGGAATTTCACTAGAGTGACTGGGTCTTACCCATGATGCTTTTTAAAGTCAAACTTAAATTTTCAAAGGTTCATCTTTGGAAAACACTAGCGAGAAACTTTAACAGGTCAATGACTCCAAGTTTTAATTGCCAACTATGGGACTGGAGAGATGGCTCAGTGGTTTAAGAGCACTTATTTCTCTTGTAGAAAAACTAGGATTTAATTGCCAGCACCCACATGGATGCTCATAATTATCTACAACTCCAGTTCCAAGGAATCCAGTGCCTCCTACTGACCTCCATAGGCATTGGGTATGTACTCTGCAGATAGACTTATATTACAGGCAAATAAATCATTTATATAAAATGAAAAAATTAATAACAATAATAGCCAACCATTTTAAGAGTCCATTAAGTGCCAAATACTCTTCTGATCATTTTATAAATGTAAACTGATTGAATTAGTATCAATATTTAATATGGTAGACGCAATCATTATGCCTCATGTTGAAGATAAGAAAATTCAAGCTAAGAGAAGTTGTTTCAAATTACATAGCTATTAGGGGCACATCCTGGAGTTGTAACCCACTGCTGTAAAAAGCCGAGTGCAAACAACAATGCATCCTCTAGAACAGCAACCTGGATCCAATGCATATTACGAGAAAGAAGGCAGGGTGGAACTTTCCCCTTGATTGTCCAAATGTTCTTGACTTGGTGACCTGTACCAGCTGACTCACATTCAGACTTACTCAGCACCTATTACAGGCCAAGCAGGGTTTGATTCTGGCCTTTGAAGAACATATAGTTGGGTGTTTGTTTGTTTGTTTGTTTGGAGCAGAGATGTCTGACTTAACTTGAGAGCAAGGTTAGATTGAGAAAATGGAAGAAACTATGTACTCAAAAACAAAAATTCAGTAAACTAAAAATATGAGAAAATTGGAAGCATGTGAGAATGAGATTTTACAGGGGAATTTCCAAGTTCAAGTTATCACAGGCCAGGTGGTCCTAAATGAAGATGAGTCCAAGACCACTAGTAATGCTGGTAAATGATCACAAAAGGGAGTTGAAGACTAGGAAACCAAGAGTTGAGGATGTCATCTAATACTGATGGAGAGGTCATCAAGTAGTATATCAGAGAACATGATCAGGAGAGAGCTGTAAGCGTGAGACATAGGAGGGAACTTAGCAAAATGCACTTGAAGGGAGATCCTCAAGGAACAGCAACAGGCAAGATGGTTGTCCTCTCTTGTGTCACCTTCATGGAGCCAGGATTCGGATATCATTTCTAACTTCTCCCATCTTAATTACATTCATAGTTTCTTTCCATTCATTTAATAAGTAAAACGCTGCTTAGGAGTTTTCAGAGTCCCACAGTTTTGATATTCTGACATTTTGGCATACTATTCATCCTACCAAAATAAGGACATGTAGATGCCAACACCAGAAAGGCCTTGCTATATATAGTTGGGCAATAATACCTATAAGATGTTTGTTTCAAAATAACAATAGTCCAGGCAGCAGATATTCAAACTGTTGATAAGAATGGCAACATAGACTCCCTGTGAGCACATAGGCCACTCCAGCAAGGGAAGCAGGTTGGCTAACTGCAAACTTTCACCTTTCCTTCTGCTCCTCCAAATAAAACACCTAGTCTCATCTCCAGCTCAGACTGAACAGAACACCTGCTGCAGACTCCTCTGACTTCATCTTTAGTGGATCCCAAAGACCTACCCTTCCTAACCTCCTTCCTCTGATACATAGCATTATCTGATCTCCCAGCTCCAGCAGGCATTCCATGGAAAACCATAGGCCACACTAGGCAATTACAGAAATTCCCCTCTCCTTCTGCTTCTCCAACTCCAACCCCCCAGTCTCATCCCCAGCTCTGTAGCAGACTTTCTGCTGTGGCCGCTCCGGACTCTCTGCCCCCATTCCCAGGGGACTAACTAAGGAGATCTTGGTGGAACACCCTGCTTTCTCCCTGCTGTAAAGCCCTTCAACTGACCTGCAGGCCGTCTCCATTCCTAAGTATCAGGACCTAACACCCAGAACCGTATTTTACTTGGAACTCCCAGTACCCACACCTATCAGTATCACAGAAGATACTGATAATGCCCACACCCTAATAAGAACCAGAGAGGAAACAGAAACCAAGGAACAAAACGGACACCCAACACAGACAAGACCAGATATCAACAACACTTAGAATTACAATCTTTCTGGTGGTAGCACACACCTTTGATCCTAGTACTTGGGAGGTAGAAGCAGGCAGATCTCTGTGACTTCAAGGCCAGTCTGGTTGATAGAACAAGTTTCAGGACAGCCACAGCTACACAGATAAACCCTCTCTTGAAAAACCAAAAAAGAAAAAGAATTACAATCTTCCCAATCCCAGATGCCTAGACACCAGCACAAAAACACAATAATGTTCAGGACAATATGTCTCCACTAGAACCAGCAACCACAGCAATCCCAGCATATTCCAACATAGCTGAAGCACAAGAAAAAGACCTTAAAACAGGCTTTATGAATGTAATAGAGATCCTTACAGGAAATGAATGAATCCCTTAAAGAAATCTATGAAAATACAAACAGCAGTGTAAAGAAATGAATAAAACCATTCAAGACTTGAAAGTGGAAAGAGAAGCAATAAAGAAGGTCCAAACTGAGGGAAATCTGGAAATGAAAAATTAAGGAACTTGAACCAGAACCACAAAGGCAAGCTTCACCAACAAAATACAAGAGATGGAAGAAAGAATTTCAGGTGCTAAAGATTGGATTTTTAAAAATGGATACATTAGTCAAAGAAAATGTTAAATCTAAAAAAAGAAAAAAAATCCTGCAACAAAACATCTGGAAAATCTGGGTCACTATGAAAAGATGAAATATAAGAATAGTAGAAATAGAGAGGTCCACAGAAATCCACAAAGACACCTCCACAATAGACTACTGGCAACAGTCGAGAGAAAGCCCAAACTGACCTACTCTGGTGATAGGATAGCCAAACACCCTAACTGTAGTGCTAGAAACCTCATCCAATGACTGAGGGAACTGGATGCAGAGATCCATGGCCTGGCCCAGGTGGAGCTCCAGGAGTCCAATTGGAGAGAAAGAGGAAGGTTTGTATAAGCGAGAATTGTTGAGACCAAGATAGGAAAAAGCACAGGGACAATTAGTCAAACAAATGGAAACACATGAACTATGAACCAATAGCTGAGGAGCCCCCAACTGGATCAGGCCCTCTGGATAAGTGAGACAGTGGATTAGCTTGATCTGTTTGGGAGGCATCCAGGCACTGGGACCTGTCCTCAGTGCATGAGTTGGCTGTTTGGAACCAGGGGCTTATACAGGGACACTTGGCTTAGCCTGGGAGGAGGGGACTGGACCTGCCTGGACTGAGTCTACCAGGTTGAACTCAATCCCCAGGGGAGTCTTTGCCCAGGAGGAGATGGGAATGGAGGAGGGCTGGGGGGGAGGTAGGGGGACGGGAGGGGGGAGAACAAGGGAATCCATGGCTGATATGTAAAATTAAATTAAATTATAAAAATAAAATTTTTTAAAAAAGATAAATTTAATTTGAAGTTGTGTGTGTGAGAAAAATAGAAGGAATAAAAATAATTTCTCCTTATTTAAAAAAAGAATAGTAGAAATAGAGGAAAGAAAAGAAACACAGGTCAAAGGCACATAAAATATTTTGGACAAAATCACAGAAGAAAAATTGCCTAATGTAAAGAAAGGAATGACTATCACAGTACAAGAAGCATAGAAAACACCTCCACAGGACTAGACTAGGACCCCTGCATAAGCAAGACAGTTGTGTAGCTTGATCTGCTTAAGGGGCTCCCTGGCAGTGGAATCAGGGTCCATCCCTGGTGCATGATCAGGCTTTTTGGAGTCCACTACCTATGGTGGGACACCTCACATAGCCTTAAGGCAGAGGGAGGGGCCTGGACCTGCCTCTACTGAATGTATCAGATTCTGCTGACTCCCCATGGGAGGCCTTACCTTTTTGTAGGAAGAATAGGGTAGGAGGGAGTTGGAGCAGGGAGGCTGGAGGGGTGGGAAGAGGGAATAGGGGGATCTGCAACTGATACGTAAAATGAATTAAAAATTTTCTTAATTAAAAAAATAAACTATTGAAATGGAAGGAGAAGAAGAAGAAGAAGAAGAAGAAGAAGAAGAAGAAGAAGAAGAAGAAGAAGAAG